GAATCCTATGATGAGATCTCATTTGTTACTTCCATTTCTCCTATTATAATCTCAATCCAATATTCATTTGTCTAAGTCTCAAAAACTCAAAAGAGATGTTCCTGTGGGTAGGTATGAAGACTTGTCTCCGCCTGAACCCGCCGTGTCTTCAAGTCCTGCGGCGAGTTTAGTGCGGACAAAACGTTGCAAAACGTTTCTTTTCAACGGAAACGGTGGTGCCTCAAACACCCTGGTGTGTACGCAAGGGTGCTGCCTTTTTAACACCGCTGTGTTTACAAACTTATCTCTGCTGACTGGATAACACCTGTGACACGCTCACTAAACGGGAGAAAACATACCTCGAAGATCGTTACGGAACGTTGCACAACGTTGCAAAGAAACGTGTCCGAAAACGCTGCGAAATGTTGCAAAACGTTTTGAGATTGAACTCATCCCAGGTTGGTGCTGGCCTCTGATGGTCTAGGAAGCTGTGTTTGGTCCCAGGCCGTGTTCACTAGGAGGCCGCAGAGCGTTCTGGTGCTCATTCTGGACTCAGTTAGCTAATAGTTTGCTGCACAGCTAACAGAGCTAACTAGCAGCAGTTATGGCCTAACAATTTGCTTCCCCCTGTTGTTTTGGAGTATGATTCGATGGGTGGAGTCTAGTTTTTACCTGTTCTACCTTTACGCTCCAGGGGTCTAATTTATAAAACTGTGCGTAGAATCCTCACTAAAAGTGTACATGCGCCCAAAAGCCAAAAATGGCGTACGGCAAGACATATTCAGACTTATAAAACCTTATATATATAAAAACTTATAAACCGTTCATCAACTTGAAATGCGGCGCATGTGAAGGAGCTCCATATCCGACCCTCCAAACGCCCATAGTTGCCTATAAATGGTCAATGAAACGCCGCTCATTAATATTAATACATCCTGACTGCAGGAAGAAAAAAGGAGGCGAATTCTGACAGAAAAGCTACAAAACAAAATTTAACTCAGTGACACTGACGTTCCTTTTGGTGAAGCTGAAGCTGTTTGGGGGTAAAAAACGCACTTTCACGCACCCCTTTATAACCGATCTGCAGGAAGGGGCCTCCCTCCCGAGTAGTAGTCACTGGCTGGACGGGGCCACACAGACGCAAGGCGGGATGACCCAGGTACTGATCTGGATTCCCCGAAAAGAGATTAAACCAAATACATTCCGCCTGTGTTTAAACATTTATTTAGGCTACATAAACAGTCCGCTCACTTAACGAGGCTGCCGAAAAGTTAAAAGAAATATGACTTGTTCTAAGTGACAATAAAATAGTGTAATTTTTCCATAACGTGTTTTTACAAGCAGCGCATCACATCCACACGCTGGCGCACAGCGTTTGGCTCAATAAGGCAACGAACATGTGATGACGAATGACTGATGCACTGAAAACAGCATCAATTTAAATGTAATTTGTCCTCCTGTTCACCTTATTTATGAGAATAAATTGCTGCATGCTTATTAAACTGATTAAACTGTACAACATATCTCAGGTGTTCTTTTGCAGAAACAGAATCTCCGTTTGTGTTTCTGATCCTCAAATTATGTTTTTTTAATGCACTTTTGGGGAAAATCAATCAAACGGGTGTGTGTTTATTCAGAAAGGCTTTAAGCCTGTAATATTTCGATTTATTTTAAATAGCAGTAGGCCTCTTCATTTCAAACCGTTTCATCCTTCTGCCATGTGAGTCGCCGTTTCTCATTTCTCCTCTTTTTTTGCGTACGCATGGTTCAGAGTTTACTTCCAGGACGCACATGTTTTTTTTTATAGATCACAACCTTTGCTTGGGAAGTGGCGTCCGCACGTTTCCAGCCTGGTTTTGTACGTACGCACCGTTTATAAATGAGACCCCAGGACAGTAAATTTGTCCAAGTCTCAAACTGCACAGACTGAAGGTATTTATTATCAACAGCACAAGAGTGGTTTATTGTCCTAAACTCCTCCGATAGTTTCATAATTACATTTTCAGCAGAGTATTCCAGCACTTTCCCCAAGAGCATCAATTTAACAGTCATTATGTTTTGTCTCAGTATGGATTCTTACTCAGGCTGACCGAAGGGACTCGGTGTCGGTTATCACCTTGTGAATTTACCTCTTTTTTTATTCTAAAGACAGATGAAGAACCAATCAATCAGCATTAGTTTCATGGGGTTTTTATTAATTTTTCAACACTTGTAGTGTTTGATGCTTTAGTTTCTCTTCACATGGGTCAGTGCTGTTTGCAGAAAGTTTAGCGAAGGTTGTGTCAAGGCCATTTTTATGATAATGGTAATACCAGGCCGTGTGCGGTGTGTAACAGATACGCAAGTGCAGTTAAACACATCCTTGTTGTGACTCTGTGGTAGTAAATTGTTTTAAAATGTCTCAAGGAAGGGCAGTGAAAGCACAAACTGACCGTTTTTGTGAGGGAAGAAGAGGAAGGAAGCTTGTTCAGCGTTTCTCCATATGTCCCTCGGACACCGGAGAAGTGGGAGTCATTATGTGCAGAGAGGAGGGCACCGACGGCTGCAGCAGCCTTAATGTTTAGAAAAACCTGCTGCCAACTGCAGGTATTCAAGTTCCCTGGACTCAAATCAAGCTTAAAGGATAATTCCAGATTTTTACAACTTGGGTCTTATTAACATTCCTGTCTGTAATAAATGTGTGGCGGCAAGGCTCAGGAGGTGGCGTGTTCAGTTGGCACTTTGCAGTCAGTGTCTGTGAATGGGTGACTGTTGGCTCGTGTGTAATAAAACACTTTTACTGATTATTTCAAACATTTCAGGTGCACACACTTTCAGCGTAACCTCTACATAAAGAGGTGCAGATAACCTGGATGATCTGTTGGCTTGTTTCCAAGCTCCTACGTAGCGAGCTAGCCATGACAAGCCGCAGAAAAATAAGCTGAAGAGCGATGGTGTGGCTTTGGATAAAACTGTCAGCTAAATGAATGTAATGTAAAAGAGATGTTTGCAGCTGTACAGGTTCTTGTTGTTTGTCAATTTACAGAAACAACTCTTGAATCAACATTTTCTTTACATTAAAAATGTAAAAAACGCACTTAGCAACATATTGCCATGTTGAAATACAAAACTGAATTGTAACCTTAAAGGGACATTATGTAACGTGTGATTTGGCGCCTCTACTGAGTGTAATTCAGCACTGTGGTAAATACGGACAGCTGTACGTGCATTCTTATCATTACATAATTTCAATAACTAGCAAGTTTGATAACAACCAAACACCTAGCAAGTGTGACACAAGACGCAACGATATGATTGAGCAGTCCAACAGAAAGAAGGCCAGCTCGCCGTCTGTCCTGCAGACTTTATTTCACGAAGCTCCCGCCAACGTCTGGCAGCCTCTCGCTCGGTCTCTCTCTTTTTCTCTTCTTAGCTTCCTCCGTCAGCGTCCTCTTTGGCCTCTTCGCTTCTGCCATTAGCCAACGTTACGTCCATAGAGGCTGCTGAGCCAGTTCCAGGTTTTGCTCCGGCTCAACAGCGGCAGCATAATATGTTGCTTGAAACTTGGGTGGCGAGCTAGCCAACAAAGATAGGTTTATAATGGCTAAACCTCTGGCTGATTTAGGCAAAAATCAAACAAGAGCAGCAACACAAGACACAGAGAGCAGCTGATTATTACTGGTGTTGTAGTACTCTTGGTCTTGGTCTGGTCTTAAGACCACTTTTTGATGGTCTTGTCTCGGACATTGGGGACTCTGGATTTTATTTCAAGACCAGAAATTGCTTTTGCATTGTCTGATTTATTTGTTAACATCCTAACTTTGATTGGATGTAAAACGTATTCAAATGCAACCAATAACCCTAATTAAAAATGTGTTGTTACCTTTAACGACTGTGTTTGTATGTGGGTGCTTAATGCGAATGTGGATCTTTCAGATTAATTTGAGAATTACCTATGATCTCATTCCACAGTTCATCGGTCTCGGTCTCGACTGCTCTCAGCCCCTAAAAGTCTTGGTCTTGTCTCGGTCTCGATGAA